ATTATTCATAATGAACGAAGCCAACGAGGAAAACGAAAAAAATCCTAAATATCTACTTTGTCGATCACATGGTGCGGCGATTTCTGTGGTAGAGTTCCCTGGGTGTGCCACGCGGGTTTCAGAACCAACTTTATTGACGCACTTGTAATCGACCGTACCACTCAGGCTCAGACTCAGCCCCGTCAGCTCCTCCGACCCTCTTATATGCGCCCCTGCGCAGCCCCAGAGCTGATGAAGCTGATAAGCTCATAAATGTCAACATAAAGCTTCTACATAAGAAAAGCGCAAACCAAATCTGCCCTGAAAATAATGATAAATAAATGAAACATAAAATACATGAACATAGTACAACAATAAGAATAGATCAAGTCGACTTCCGTGTCGACACTCCGGCAGCGCGATGATCATCCCCTTCATGTCAGCTGCTCCAGCTCTTCCTGAAGACGATTTAGACGATCTCTCACATCCGTCCCGCACATCCGGTACAGGACAAAGTGCCCTATGATGCCCTTCCGGTATCAGATCCTCAACACACGTGCCCCGTATTTTCTCGCAGTACCAGCAACTCCTGGGGTTGAACTTGCATTGACGCGGTAAGCACGAGCCGAGGCAGTGCTTGCACAATCCTTTCCGTGAAACGATCTCGTATCTGAGGTCGCCATCGATAACATCCGGGGCACGAACCCGAAAAGTGCTTGCCAAACCTGTCGCAAAACGCCATTTTCCCGTATTTTCCGGCGGTTTTGAGGGTCCTCCGATACTCCTGAAGGGGAAGGAATTTGTTCCTCTTCATCAGCTTGGTTTCACAACGCACTGATTTTATCTTCAAAGGAGGCGGAACGCCTGACTCGTCGTAGATCATCGAATTTCTCAGGGCTACGGACTCGTCGTTGATGTTTAGTGGAACCTGGATAGCGAGCCAGTCGCCGATCTTCAGAGGACGCTTGACATCGACGTGTGTGCTGCTGTTGGTGACCACTTCCGTGTTGTTCTTCGTCAGGTTTTGATTTCCCGTGCTCTTTTGCTCATTTTCCTGTTGCTCAACTTCTTCGTGAACCCGCTCAGATCCCTGTTGTTCCTCCTCTCCTTGGACTTCGCGGACCATTTTCTCGAAGTACTCCTGATCATTTACTGGTACTTCCTCACTTCTCACAGTCCTCCTTGTTTTTTCCGCTGGGTCCACGGTCACGGTAAGCTCAGTAGAGCTCGCAGTTTCGGTTTGTGCTTTTATTGATAGAAGCGTCTGCTTCAGGAGCTCCATTTCTTCCTCCTGTTTCTTCATTTTCTCCTGGAGTTCGGTTATCTCCTTGGCTGATGTTTTCTTTTCGGCAGCCATGCCTTTTCGGAGCACTTGTGGTAGTTGGTGCCTCTGGAAAGCGTGCTGGTTCTCTATGGTCTGACATTGTCATACCGGTTCTCTGTTTTCCTCAACTCTTTCTCGAGCTCCTCAATGAGACGCCTGAGTAGGGCTGATCTTAACTGCGCCCAATCGAGCACTTTCCTTGAGTCCACTTCAAACCGATGTTTCCGATCGAGCCATGCATGTCGATGGATGGAATTCAGCCTTCCAATCACGACTTGTTCCTCGAAAAGTCGATCCAGGAGGGTGTATCGCGTTACGAGTTTTGCGATTTTTTCAGCTGTTTGTTCGGCTGTGCGTAGACTAAGATGTTCCAACTGTTCCCCTTTGAATTTTTCTACTACGGTAGTCAGCTTTTTTGAATAATTGGTCAGCAATCGCTTCAGCGTGGGCAGCTGGTACGACATTTTTACGGGAATGCTGGTAAGAGGCAGCAGATCGCAACTTCAGATAAAGCTCGCAGCGAAGAACTTGTGGTATGGTGAGAGAGGAAAGAAAGTGGTGATGATTCACCAACGAAGCTTTCAAAAGGAAGCTTGTGTAAAAAAAATTGAAACGAAATGAGATGATGGAACTGATCTGAATCCGTTCGCCGATGCCCCATGCGGCGATTTCTATGGTAGAGTTCCCTGATGTGCCACCCGGGTTTCAGAACCAACTTTATTGACGCACTTGTAATCGGCCGTACCACTCAGGCTCAGACTCAGCTTCCTCCGACCCTTTTATGTGCGCCCCTGCGCAGCTCCTTCGAGCTGATGAAGCTGATAAGTGCATAAATGTCAACATAAAGCTTCTACATGAGAAAAGCGCAAATCAAATCTGCCCTGAAAATAATGATAAATAAATGAAACATAAAATACTACATAACATAGTGCAACAATAAGAATAGATCAAGTCGACTTCTGTGTCGACACATGGTTATCTCAACTCGAAATTCGCGAAAAGTTAACTCTAAAGTTCTTCATGAAACTTTGACACATCACAGGATATTGAAGTGAAACAAGAGAGGAAAATGGCAGCTCATGTTCGAGCGATTTTTATGAAAATTTATATTCTAGCCTTACTTTTTGACAATGCTCTATTTTAACGATAGTTGTTCATGGTTTATCCAAAGAACCAATGGCGGACATATTTCTTCTCCGTGAGAAAGGCAATTTTGCCATAGGGGCGGTCTTTTGGATAATGTACGTTTCCAGAAATCGTGTCCATGTTCGTAATGCTGACATTAGCTGCTTGGCGAAGAACTCCAGTAATAAAAATATCATCTATCTGGAAAAAAGAGAATTGAAGGGTGATAAGGAAAAGTTTGTAGTGTTTGATTGTTGAAAAAGAGATAGAAACGTTAGCTCTACAAATAGTTACCCAGAGAAAGCGTTGGAGATAAACCACGCTGAGCATCTTTCTTCACGACTGAGACGGGGACCAAGTAAAACCATCCGAGACAGTGCGGTGGATAGACTTGTTTCATTCCACTCATCCTTCGTTACGACCCTGAAGAACTAAATGAGATTCCAACGGCTCTTTACATTGCAGTTTCAGGAAATCGTGCCGCTTCTTACTCCTATAATTACTTCTTGAGCT